TAACTCTACGAGAAAAAAAGAACGCCAAGAATGACGGCTTAAATACAATTTTATTCTTTGTTTAATTTGCGGAAGAATAAGTCTTCGTAAGCAGTCATTTTTATTTAGAGTGACTGGTAATGACTATGATAACGGGTTAGTAGGAGGGGGGTGGAGGGTGGGGTGTGTATAATTTAATATCGTCATTCAAATTAGAAGGCGTAGAAGTCCACGGGAAGTAGTATTTTTAAAATCAATAGAAATATGAAAGAATTCTGAACAATTAAGTAATTCTTTCTGAATAAATAAATTATTTGAGCATTAAAAGATAATTCAGAGCATTCTGTAATTCTTTCAAGCCATTAAGTATTCATTCTGATAGTTTAAGGAATTTTTTTCCTAGCATAATAGTTTTAATTCTGAGCGATAAATATACGCATTATTTAACAGGTTATTAGATAAACGTTATTATTTATAAAAGCAAAATTAATTTTTTTAATTTGAATAATATTTTGCTTTAATGCATTTTATATATCCACATATAAGTCAGGCTATTAAATAATGATAGTCATTTTCGGCTGCCATACGCATATTTATTCTTGGTTTAATATCATAATAATTTTAAATAATTACAGCATACAGATACCGGGTTGTTTAGGATCATAGGCGTAGCCAAAGGGGGGGGGGCAAGGGGAAATTTCCCTTCCCCCTTAAGAAATTTATCACTTTTGTGAATATCATAAGCTAAAAAAAATCTCACCCTTAGTCCTCTCCAGTGGCGTGGGGGTGGTTTTCGGGTTTGGACCCCTCCCAGAGCAAATTTTTTTTTTTAGATTATACGTTCAAAAGACTTAAAAGTGATTTTATATAAATTATATTACTATTGAAATTATTCTGGATAGTATTATTATAAAGTCATTGAGAATAATCTACTAAATTATAATAACATATTATTGATGCATTTAAAAAATATATTTATTATATATTTTCGAAGATATGGTTATGATTTGTAAGATAAACCCAGCTTTAATATGTATGGACCCCCTCTAAGGAAAATTCCTAGCTACGCCACTGGTCCTCTCCCACTTCCTGGCCCTAAAAATATATGCATATATCTTAAACAATAATTTGAAACATGTAAAAGTTTATATTTTTTATAAAACTATTCATCATAATTTATATATTTTTGGAAAAAAGCATTTGTATATAAAAAAAGTGAACCAAAAATGTTTTTTAAAAAATGGAATATAAGCCAAGATAAAACTGAAATGTATTATAATCATTAATAATAGATCCATAACTGAATAATATTATATATCAAATATAATTTTTTATAAAGTGAGTAATTTTAATTTATTTATTTTAATAAAAGTAAAAATAATTATAAAACTATTGATAAAATTAAATCATAAATTAAATAAAAAAATTAAAGCACAATACAAACAGTTAAATATTATATGTCGTAGATTTACAGTATATCTAATTTTATCCATTATCATATGACAATCAAATAATTTTTACCAATATAGGGAATTATTTATTTTACAGAAAACTATAAAATATTGATAAGGACATCAGAAAATATCTTTTAAAGACATAGTGGGATAAATAATATGAAGATTATTTTTTAATATCATTTTTTAGTTAAAATAAATAGAAGCGTTAAATAATTGAATGCAAATTGTTGCTATATTTATTACCAAGAGCATTGATTAGTAAATTTTGTTAAGATATTAACAGTAACATATTCTCTAACTGTCAAATATTTCTGTAAAAGTGGAATTTTACCTAGTATTTTTTAACCAATTCTATATAATAGAGGAATATCAACTATATGTCTACTTATAAATAAATTTCTTATACTTGTTTGTAATAAATGATTACCATGCTTTTATATTAATGTATATACAAGTAATTTATTGTATTTTATATAAACTAATAAAAATATATTTCATATTTGTTCCAGGCTTATTTTTTTTATTAAAAATAACTTCTTCTCTTGTAAAAATATTTTATGATTATATATAGACTAAGGTAACGCCTCAAATGGGGTCTCGAAGCCCCCATAAATTTTTTAATTCCCCCCCCTTAGGGAAATCATGGCTACGCCTATGTTTAGGATCCAACTAGTACTACTCCTGAGAAAAGAACTAGTTCCAGCGCTTGTCATTTTGAAATAGACATTGTAAATATCCTGTCCAACCAATGGTAATGATGCAGGATTAATGAAACCTAGCCTGCGATAGAATAATTACAACTAATCAATGATGCTACGAACCAATTAAGCTATTAACAACTAACCGCTAAGATTTTATGACAATCGGCAGCACAGGATAACTATTATACATGGTTAAGAAAAAAAATATGGAGCTACCTGGAACAGAAAAAGAAAATGTATGATTTATTCAAATTTATGAATAATTTTGAATTCGGAAAGAAGGATATTAGAAGTATTCTTAAAGAACACATGTTTCTTTGTGTGTATTTTTTTTTATAAACTGATTTACTATTCTGATAAAAATAAAGTATATAATATTAATATGAATTTGTTTAAATATTTGCAGTTTTATTAGTCATTGGAAAATATTTATACATATATATATAACATAAATGATATTAAAATTCTTCCAGATCCTATAACCAGAATCTTTTCTTCTAGAAATTCAGGAGGCCTTTTATATAAATTTTTTTTTTGAAACAGAGGGTATTATGAAAAATATTTACAATTTTTATACTGATTTTTCAAATAAATCATTTTGAAATTAAAGGTACACTCTACCACTGGAATAAATTTAGAAATAGGTCGGATTTTATATACTCAAAAATGGTTCATTAAAGGATTTAAAAAAGATCTCGATGCATATATATATTACTGATTAAAAAGAAGATGAAAAATATAATTGTGTTACTAAAAGGGACCAATAGATAAATCGAAAATTTTGTTAATTGTATATTTCTACCTAAGAAATTAAGAATTCCCCGGGTACAAACAATTCTACTTTTATTTTACAAGTCAAACTTATAGGAGAAAGTAAATGAAATTATTATTTCTTGTTATTCAAAAATAGAAGTTTTTATTTCAGTTTTGTAAATAAATGAAAGTTGTTTTTGTAAATTATTTTTTCTGATTCTCTAATTTTTACGATAACTTTAGTGGAATAAAGTATTTTAAAAGATTAGTTTTTTGACGAAGGAATTGGAAGCATATTTTATTTTAAATTTAGCGAATATCATTAATTATATAAAAAATTATGAATAAAAAAATTTATTCAAAAAAGATAACAATAAAAAAAATAATAATAAATTTACATTTTAAAAAACTGCAATAATTATATGACGCATAATAATTTTCATAATGTTATAGAAACACACGATGGCTTGCTAAGATAATGAAAACAATTTTATTAAATTAAAAATAAAGAATTACATTGTCTATATTTATATATGCACACAATGTTAGCTTTATATTTTATTATTTAAGAATATAAATTTGAATGTTATTATATGAGATAAAATGAAATAATTTAAAATAGAAACTATATATTTTATAAAAGATCATTCGATTATTATAAATTATTTTAATTATTAATATAATTTATTTTAGACAATTTTATATAATATTTTTATTGTTATTATAATAATTAATATTTTATTTAAATAAATAATAAAATATTATTTTGTAACATTTATGACGAATACGGATTCTAACTGTAGAATTTCTATCAAAAACGACTATACGGTTTTTTATCCTTGCCAAAAATCTAACAAATGTGAATGGAAAGTTTTAAAAAATAAAATATTTATCAAGATCATTATATAATATATATAACTGTATATATTTTGTATTGTTAATTTTTTTTTCTCAATATTAAAAATTATCAAGTTTTATTAAATAATATTGTATGGCGATTTTCATTTCATGATTAAAGGTATGTTGAAATCCTTGTTGAGATTTCTTTTTAATTTTAAAAAATTAATAAAATGGTGATTAATACATTTCTAGTTAGAGTTTGTTATAAATTAATAGATCACCCAGCAGCAAAATTTATATTTTAGATTAATTTCAGAAAATTTATAATATATGTTTTTTAAAAAAAAAATAAAAAATGAATAATTATAAAACTTTAGAATTTAAGAGATTTCTCGAAAGATTTTGGATATTTCAAAAAATGTGGTAGTTTTGAAATACAATTGAATATAGTGCGTATATTTTTAAACTTTAAAATAATTGCAATTGTCTATTAGTCAATGTAGGCTAACAACCTTGTTGAAAGAATGAACTTAATTCCATAATACGGTGGAAACTATCGAAATATGAAGCGGTATGGGTAATAATATATTGTTTTCATATTTAACTTTATATTTAGCATTTAAGCAATTTTTTAAATTAAATTATGATTTATATTATTTTTAAAATTTTAACAGGCGTTATTAAATTATCCTCTATATGTTTCTCCCCTTAGTTTTTTTTGCTTTTAGAAAGCTCAGGATGCTAAGAGGAAATAATACTTAAGTTTCCCTTGTAAAATTTATATTTTTACAAAGATAACATACAAATTTTTGCCATTTATATTCTATCTAAATTAGGTGATAAGATATAATTAAAATATGATAAAAGAATTATTAAAAAGTGTTGTTTATGATGGATCTGATATTTTTTTTAATAAACTATTAATAATATTTTCATATAAATTAGGATAATTTAGCATAGTTCGCATTGAATTTTAGTAAATATAAATTGCGAATAAAAAATCTATTTTTGAAAATTCTTTTTCAAATTATGCATCGTTATTGTATAAACTCTCGTTTGTAGAGATTTATATTTCTTAAAATGACTAATAGTCAACCTGGTAATGATTAGCAATAGTTATAATAAACACGTTGCTCGCAATATATCGATAAACTCAATTTTTCACGTTTTTTAAATTTTTTTCGTCTGGTTATTTCTTACTTTTTTAAAATATTTAAATAAATTATTTGCATATTAATATTTTTAAATTGTATAAATTTAAATAGATAGTTTTTTTAAATTTTGTATGAGTTCTATAAACGACAATAGTTTTAATCGAACAATATCTGATAGGCCAGCAGCTGATAGAGAATTTGGTGAAGATGCAAGCTGGAAAAGAATTCAACAAAATACATTTACGCGATGGGTAAATGAACATCTAAAAACTGCTAATAAACACATTGGTAATCTAGAGACCGATTTATCAGATGGACTAAGGTTACTATCACTCATCGAAGTTTTATCTGGGAAAAAAATTCTCAAATACAATAAACGACCAACATTTCGTTCGCAAAAACTGGAAAATGTGTCAATGTCTCTAAATTTTCTTGGGACAGAAGAAGGAATAAAAATTGTAAATATAGGTAAACTTTGAAATAAATGTATAGTATTTTGATATTTTTTATTTTTTTTGCTGAAATTTATAGATAGTACGGATATTATTGATTGCAACCTCAAACTAATTCTGGGACTTGTATGGATGCTTATCTTGCATTATTCCATAACTATTCCCTCTTGGGACAATGAAGAAATTGTAGAAACATCCCCAAAGAAAAAGGGGCATGAGCCAACACCAAAACAGAAATTACTGACTTGGATTCAAAGTAGAATTCCTGATATCACCATAACAAATTTCACATCAGATTGGAATGATGGCAAGGCTATTGGAGCTTTAGTAGATGCTGTAGCACCAGGTATCAAAATAATACACGTTTTTTTAAAAAATTTTCTGTTATAAATTTATTTTAATAACTTTTTTAACTAAGATGATTAATAAATCTAGACCAGATTTCAACTATTATCTTTAAATATAAAGAGAAAAAAAATTAATTCACCTCATAATGAATAATTTTTTAAAAAAATTATAAATTAATATTTAAATTAGAGATCTGCAAAGTTATATCTGGCCCGTAACCGCCCCAACTTCAAACTGGGCTCAGGCCTAATTATTTAAAATAATCAAGTTTGGGCTAGGCTGGGCCTAATATTTTTAAAAAAATTTTGGGCCGGGTCAGGTTGGACCTTGGAAATTTTATTAAATACATCTTAATTTATCAATGTTATATTGAATTTTTATGTAAAATAAAAATTTTTGATTTAATTTATTGAAACTAAACGCTATATAACATATGTCTTTTATTTTAAGTAATTATAAAAATTAATTTCTATATTTAAATAAATTCGGGCCTTGACGGGCCGGTAAATTTTTTAAAAATAAATTTAGGGTTTGGGCTGGGCCCGCAAAACTTTTTTTTAAAAAAATTATCTGACAGGCCGGTCTTAAAAATTATACCCAACGCAGATCACTAATTTAAATATTCCCATTTAATCTATTATGAATCATGTCACATTTTTGATATTACAATTTTTATATATGTCATATCTAGATTAAAAAATTATTTTAGATTGTAGGAGGGGGGGGGTATTGGTTATTTTTATATAAACCTTATTGGAGATCTTTAGATTTACTTATCAAGGCCTTTGGCTATATTAATTTTTATAAAAATTATTTTGGGCTTTTTTTATTATAAGCATTCATTTTCTCTAAATTAGTTATTAACTTTTACTAATTTTTCTTTCATTTTTTTAAGTGATATATTGTAAACATTTTTAGAGGAGAATGGGGTTGGGTTTGTAGGGGAGAAACTTTTATTAGCTTAAAATGATATTTACTACAGGCAAATTTGTGCTGCCCCCTCCCCCCACCCTTTCCTGGTTATGTCTGCTGAAATATCCCCAAACTAAATTATAAAAAGTAAATGCTAGCAAAAAATCTACCAATCTTGTTTAGCCTATAGACCAAATAACTTATAAAAATGGAATCGATATATTTTATCTTCCAAAATTAATCCTGGCTAAATCTGGCATGACCAATTTGGCTGACAAAATAACTAGATTATATTGAGTTTCTATAAAAAATCATACAGCTAACTATTTTTTTTTTGAATAGAATCTAAATAGGTTTTGATTTAACTTTCACAAGTAAATATACCAATCCTTAAAAAAATGCTTTGTTGGATTAAATGTTATATTTTTTGTTATCTAAAATTTTCCTACAATTTTTTGATAAAATTGGTTTGGTCAAAAATTATTATGAAACTAAATATTTTAATTTATTTTGTTACTATTATAATATATGCACCTCCTTTTTTGTTAAACTTTATAATAATCTTAAAAACAAACAAGGAAAAGTCTTTGAATTTACCTTAAAATTATATTTATTTTAGAAATATCATTGTAAGTCAAATAATATCTAAACCTTGTTTTTGTTTAAAAAAAATTTTCCCCTTTTTATTTTTTTTTTCAAAATAGTACACTGTATATTTAGGAGGTGTGTATTAATCATAAAACTTTACAAAATCACATTGACATCAAGTATTACTATAAGAAAATTTTGGTAATTTTTATTTGAAGTAACTATTTAAATTGTTACATTTTTTTTTCAGACTGATAAAAATCCCAAATCAAGCATTCTTAATAGGAAATCTGAACCATTGCATGTTGGCCACTAATGATTAAAAATCAGATAATTTGTATATATATAGAAAAATAAAAATAAAATACGATATAAAATTTAAAAAATTTACATTTATCTGATACAATATGGATATTTTTTTATAAATATTAAAATGATCAATTAACAAATCTTGTACTATCACCTTTTTTTATTATTATCAGTAATCGTTGTTATGATAATGTCCATTGCATTTTCAGGTTTTTAGCAAGTGCGGAAAACTGATTAGACTGTGTAGCTTTTTTAAATAGTGAGATTTTTTTTATAGAAATTTCTTAGTTATAAATTGATTTAGACCACTAATTGAAAATAAATGGATTACTGTTTGTGTTAATAAAGAGTTGTCTTCTTCTACTTATAATTTGTTTCAATTCAATGTTCCCTAAAATCATACTTCTATTTTAAAGATAAATAATTGCTTTTTATTATTTTAACCCCTCAATTTTATTTTTCATCGTTCGTATCAAATGTAAAGAGTAATGATTTTCATCTTCAAAATTATCTTTATTCCATAGTTTTCAAGGAATTTGTGACTTGCGACATTAAAATGGCTAAAAACAAAATATCGCCGCCATTTTTTTATCTCTATAATATACTGTTGGCTGAGGCTGGAATATCGCACAGATCAAGGCCACTCATTTCTAGAAATTATATGAAGTCATGATTATTAAATTTCGATTCATAGTTACACTGGGACCTTCCCATAAAAGGGTTAATAGGGCTTCATCGATTGGGAGATTTTGTTAAAGCATCAAGGTAGCGCGTTATCACGCTGCAATCGCGGTGCTATATTTTTTTGAGTAGCAATTAATAACCCCCTCTACATTTTTTTAGATTCTAAGTAGCTATCTACTTTGCATTCATTCATTCATTTAAAACTTGATATCGAAAAACTAAAAAGAGAAGATGGCCTTTATTTTTTTTTTGATATCTCCTGCCAGTATGCGTTATACAGAAATTAAAGGACTAATCAGGACCCGGCCCTTAGGTTGATCGGGGTTTTCATGGATCAGTCTGTTTCTTGAGTTCCTCGAAAAAGGTTAGAACTTTGATAAGTAGTCTAGAATTAGGAATGGAGAATTTGAAGAATAGTTTTTTTAGAGAGAAGAACAGGTTCGATGGAAACAGATTACAGGACAGGCATTCTCGGAATAGGTTTTTTAAATAAATAACGATATTGTAGCATTCGCGCCAATATTTAAGCAATATCGCATTCTCCGTAATTCTCGCGTTGATATTTAAGCGGAAATAAATTCGCTGCTAAGACATTTGCTAGAATGTTTTTTTCGCGATACTACAATCCTAAGAATACATTTCTCGGTGATATCCTTTCGTTAAAACGCGATCGCGACCATACCCTTTCCCGGGAAAATGATTTACGATATTTTTCTCAAATCGTAAGAATCGTAATCAAGAGATACGCGTACTCTAAAATATATATTTTTTGGAAAAATGCTAAATAATTTTAGTGAATCCTATTCACTCTTCCCCCCCCCCCACTCCCTCAATCATCCCTTAAATCCCATATTCCATAATTTTGGAAAAAAAATTTTTCTTACAAAATTAATTTTTAACAAATGGGCTAAAGCATTATTTTATAGTTCCATTTTTTTAAAAATAAAAATTTAAATTTTTTTTAAAAATAAAAAGATCATAAACCTTTTATTGCGGAATTTTCCTCTAAAAAAAAATTTAAAAATTTGTTTTTTTTCGCGTTTGATTTTAAAATAATTTTAAGTAAAAAAAAAATTTTTTTTTGTTTTTTTCGCGTTTGGTTTTTTTTAAATAGGGAATTTATAATGATTTTCTTAAAAAAATTTTGGTTTTTTTTGTTTGCGTATTTGGGGAATGGAATAAGGGGGGGGGGGAATAAATCTGATTATAAAATATACTTTAAAAAAATATTATGAGCCAACTGCTCGGAAAGGGGAATTATTAAAGATTTTAAATATTTATTTAGAATAAAAAAATCGTTTGGCTACTGAGTACAGACTGTGTAGAAAGAAAGAAAGATGGTGGAAATAGTGAAACCTCAGCCATTGTTACCCGGACAACGGAACTCTATCTGGTTCTAGACCGATGGTGGAAATTGAGGGTCACGAAGATGTACTTTTATAGAAAGAATTTTACGGGTTATTCTACCGAGGCGTTTTTTTTTCTAAAGTTTTCTGTAAGTTATTCCAAAGGGGCTAAGCCCTGGGGAATGGACGGAAGGAAAGGCCGCCATAAGGTGCCACCCTGGAAAGGTAGCTATTCGAAAGGCGTTTTGTACTAGAGTGTTAAAACCGGTGTTAGACCTACAATCTCGGCCCCGTTTTGTTAATCGTTTTACGGGCCGGACCGGACCCAGTTTTTAGAGTTTGGTGACTCGAAAATTAATTTTGGACATGTGATCTTGTAATTTGGGTTCGGATATGATCCATAACAGAATTTTTCGGCCAATTTAATAAGTAACGTTTTTTTAAAGGCCCGGTGGGCAGTCATTTTCCTACGGGTTTACCCGCCCAAACACGTGATTTAGGCGGGGAGGGAGTTTTGCCAAATTGTTATGAATACAACATATGACTGAATTTTTCCTCTTGCCCAAGTTTCAAGTCTACAAAAACTGATGCTGAATTATTTGATCAATCATTTCGAAATTTGAAAATTCGAAATTATCACAAATTAGCTTCATATTGTCAGAATACAGTTAACCGAAATTAACGCCATTTTGGAAGTTGAACCACGAATTTTCAACGAAGCTTATTGGGGGTTCGAAATAGTGTTGTTAAACGGCTAATTTTGAGCCGATTTTAAAAAACAACTGTCAATATTTTAGCCAAATAAATATTACCTAAGGCTCCAGATTTCGCTAATAGATGTCTAGATCTTCGTGGCATCTGTGAGCAAAATCTTCAGGCTCGAGTAATATTTTTCTGGACAAAATATTGAGTCAGCTGTTTTTAAAAATCGGCCCAAATATAGCCGTTTAACAACACTAGTTTGAAATGACAGTAATTAGAGGTAAAAACCTCAACCGTACAAATCATTTTGCTTGAATGACAAATCAGGAGCAAAATGACTTATCTAATAAGGCATTTAATTTATTACTAAAATATATTGCGACTTCCCTTATTGTAAAGGAATTATGACCTATTTTGACCAAGATTTTTGCGATGAATTTGCCACTATATTGCATCT